GCAATCCGGTTCCTCCTTTCGATACGTATGATGCCGTGTTGCATCTTGGAAAGGTACCCGCAGATTCTCTTGACTCGCTCTAAGTGCCATTCTTGGTGCTGCCCGAAATCTGGACATCGTCATGGTGGCCGTGGCATATCGAACCTTCCAATTTGGATGCCCACTGTAGACTACCGATGAGTGACTGATATATCTTTGTTGTGTCCATATCGAGTAGTCTGTTGTGTCAGTCTCTGGGGGGTCTCCTTTGATGAGTGGAGATGAGACTTGTTTGGGCATGTTGCCGAAGATTCGTTGGTAGTTGCTGAGTACCTTCTCAATATATTTGCGAGGTGCGTAACTCATACTCGTTCTCATCACGGAAGAAGTCACATCCTAGGTGGAAGCTGATGGCCACGGTTCCCTTTAGTTTGAACTTGTGCTCCCTTCCAATGTCGCGATGATCTTGGATGCGTCTTTGCTGACAATAAGGAGGTCGTCTACGTACACAGCGATGTATTCGTAGTAGCTCCCTTTGTCTTCATCCAGATGTCTGATTCGGCTTTTGAAGGAAGAATCCCATCGAACGAAGAACATCTGCAATCGTTCATGCCATCGTAATCCAGAAGACTTGAGTCCGTATAGGGCACGGCTGATGATGAGGGTGCATCCTTCTCGATCTCCAAATTCGGGCCTGCGACAACGTACACCTTCTCTTTCGTATATGATTCCAAGTAGGCGTTTCCAATGTCTGTTGCCCATACCTCACAATCATTGAGTTCTGCGAGGAATGTGAGGATACGAATCCCTCGTAACGAAACCACACTGGAATAGACGGAGTCTACTGGTGTATCAGTGAGATGTCCTCCAGCGACAAGTCGTGCTTTGTGTCGCCCATCGTGTTTGACTGCGTACACCATATGCACTCGAATCTTCTTCCAATCTGGTCCAGGGTTATGTCCCTTTCCTTTGTTGATGAAGGTCTCGTACTCATCAATCTGATTAAGCTCGATCATCTCGGCATCTCTCCACTTGGTATCTCCATTTCGCGCGTCTAGTTCCATGGCTTGATCATGGTTGCGCGGAACTTGGAATCCGTACATGAACACGGGCTTGGTCCTGAAGGAGTGAAGCTTTGCTTGGTTAGCCGCTCGTACGAGTCGCTTTTGAGTCTTTGCGATCTTCTTGAGCCCTGGTAGTTTCCATCCAACTGTGTCTAGTAGACGTGCTCTTCAGCATAGATGGCGACCGTGACTGGATCAGACTCATGTACTCCCATCTTGTCTTTGGTGGTAAGAGGCTCCCAAGTTATCTCTCCGGTTTCCCATTCAACTTGTACGTTGTACCGTGAACCCTTGTATCGTTCCTTGTCAGATGATTTGATGGGACCTTGGTGATCCAAGATCTTGCGGAACTTCCATGTGCCATCCCCAAGTTGGTCTTGTTCAATGTAGTCCAACGATATCGTTGTAGGCTACGATTTCCTCTCTACTCGTCGTTGACTCTGCATTTTGAACTTGATCATGTCCGGTGTTGTTTGAACCTTCTCCTTGTGATTTGACTCTTTCAAGGATCTTGGCTTTTACTCGGGTTCCATCTTCTCGGTGGCATGAGAAAGGTTCTTCCTAACATCTGTTCAGGAGGTATATCCTGATTTCGGTGGTATTGTCAGTCTTCATTGCCTGTTTGTTGAAGATGAATGGCTCCTCCGCACTAGATGATCCTTTCTCGAGGCTCATCCTTCTGATGGTTCGCGATGTTGTCATCATCGTATTGACCTTTCTACCTGGGGCATCTCCCTGAGAGGCGGTTCGTCCATCTGGAGTATTCTCTTCTAGAATGGTCTCCCCTATCTCCCCTTTCTCGTCATCGTCTGGAAGGCAAAGGCTCTGGTTCATTGACGATAGTGCAGTTCCACTCTTCTATCTTAGACCCTGAACGTATATGCGCTCTGGGATTGTTCCTGACTCGACATCAATTTAAGGTTGTTGATCCCTTCCTTTGCGAGTCTGACTCTGGACCGACATATGATCTGTTTGTGTATCATCGGTAAGGATCTTGAAGGTGAGTTGATGTCCAAGTTCCAGGCAAATCCCAACGAAGCGTCCACGAATTCTGAAGACTTGTTGTGTCGGGCTGGGCATTGTACCTTGGTCTTGTATCTCTGGAACATAAACAACATCCCAAAATAGGAATACGAGCAGAAAGCTGATATCCACGGTTTGTCAGTGGAGAACTTCAAGTGGTGTCGTCCATCGGTCGATTTCTCTGATGTTGGTTCATAACACGCCTATTTTCCTATTTGCTGGCACAGTACCAGAGCTTTCGGCATTCAAGTTCCGCTTCAGTCCTATTGAACCAGTTATGTTTGCGTTAAGATGTGTTCCATCTTGTTTGCGAAGTTTTGATGCTGTAGTGGGGTGTCAGATTGCCAATCGTCAATGATACGTACGAATTATCTCTTTTTCTCGCGCGGAAGTCTGTGCTGAGTGTCCATCAGAGATAAGCTTGTCCATTGCTCCCTTGTTCGTATGACATTCTCAAGGGTGTTGACAAAATCCGCAGTGGAAGACATATCCGAAACATCGATGACAAAGCGATTTACGCCAAATGAAGATTTGTGCCATCATTTGACCTCCGGTGCAAATGGCGGGTTGTGTCGTGCAAAGTATAGTATCCGTAGCATACTGGTTATTGCGTCGCCATACATTATGAGCCGGGAAAGGTGATTTTATGGTTTGCTTGATTTGATGTCCAGCTTGGATATTGGACGCATGTTGGGTAGTCCTGTTCAAATGTACGACGAATTTTTTTCAACGGGAACCTGGAGAAAGACTGGACTGAACTTTCGGTAGTCTGGTGGTTTAGGAGTGGACTGTGTGGCTGGGATAGTGATGTGGTCTTTTGACGGGACGGTATCAGAATCAAAGGCAGAATAGACGGATTCTGCAAGGATGAACGGTTGGTTGAGGTTGGAGACAATCTTGTAGGCTTAGAGAAAGGTAGCATGGTTGATGCTCAGTGGATTCTCGTCTAGTGGAGTGATTGCTTCAACTGTGGGTGCATGATGCGGTTCACGGTGTTTGTAATGCCCTTGTGAATCGAAAGCATAGTTGGGTGGTGCATCATCTTCGAGTTTGATACGATTGTACCAGTCGTCGTGGTCACTGTGTCTGAAGTCGAGGACTTTGGGATCCCATAACTCGCCAGATGTCAGAATGACATGGGTGAGTGTTGTAAGTTCATTGTCGGAAGGAGGGCACATTCGCATGTACGGGAGTCCATTGACAATATCCAGAGGAATGATGAAGCCATCGTTGGTGTGGATGCATTGTCTGCCACCACATAGGAGGGATCGATCATCAACTCGGTTCTTGTAGTGCTCGATCTGACCGGATGCATGGATGGTACGGTTGATACCATGTTAGGCATATTGTCGTAGCAAAACGATGATGGGACCGCCCGGTGTGAAGTTCTCTCTCTTTTTTTTTTTAGATCAGCGTTTCCCAAGAAAGAGTACGATGGGAAGTACTCATGCTACCATGGTGCCAAAGAAGTTCAGCCGCACAAACGCACCGGTACCTCGAGGCAAACGGGTCATTCTCACCACATATGTGGATGCGAACCTCTATCACGATCTCATCAGTGGCCGTCATTACCGGAGTCCTACACCTAGCGAACAAGACCCCATCGACTGGTTCAGCAAGCTACAGTCAACAGTCGAGACCGCAACAGTTCGGATCTGAGTATGTTGAGCCCGTACCGCCACTGAACAAATCATTGACCTACGGAGCAGTTCAGGTACCTAGGAGTACTGGTCGACACGCCGACATGATGTTCGGAGACAACGAGACGGTAGTCAACACCGCCTCGATGCCACACTCAAAGATTCTCAAAAGACACAAATGCGCTTTCCTACCACCGTACTAGGGAAGCCTTGCTGCAAGTATCTTGAGATTCATCATATCCCTGGATTACTAACCCTGCAGATATCCTAAGCAAACACTGGGACTATACATCGGTATGGCCTATGCGAATGCACTGCTGTTTTGGTCAGGAGATACCAAGGATTGCGGTAAGAAAACTCAGAGTCGACAGTCGCCACTGAGGGAGTGAAAGCGTTACAGTTCCTCCACGCTCAGAGTATCCGTGAGTAGATTGATTATGTTTTATGAGTCAACACGATGGAACAGAAGACGCTGGCAAGAACACGTTTCAACGAAACCAAAGGACACGGTAAATTGGAGTATTCAACAGGAGTAAAGCATCCTGCCAACGAACCGTTTCCCGCAGATACACGTTGACTCCGTATCAACTACCACGATGTATTGATCCAACACGCTACAACTAGCTTTACTGATCGCATCAATCAAAGCTCACAACACAGATTATGAATTACTAAGAAGCGAACTTGCATTACCTTGCACTCGTCTTGAATAGTTGCAGTTGATCTCGTCGGGTGGTAGCTACCTCTACAAGATCCCTCTATTCAAGTAGTATTTCCCCACGTTAGCATCCCAAAGCACCCAGCACTGCATGGTGGAACAGTTGTCTACATGGGACTTCATATTGAACTGAGTGTACTTCTAGACCTTGCCATGTCTGTTTTCTCAGCCCTTGGAGACAATCCTTATCCAACAGGCTTCATCCGAGGAACCTTTGGAGCTGAACTGGGTGCAGGAGCTGAAGTCTCCGAGTTGCTTGGATTTGCCTTTACTGGAACCACACAGGATATTGTGGGAGGATCAGTTGTGACGGACATTGATGCTGCAGTTGGGGCTGGTATTGGAAGTGCTTTGGTGTCAAATCTCAATGGACTTTATTCCCTGGAGTTTACTTTAGGTGGAGGCATTGGTGGTGGCTTTGGTATTGGATATGGCATCACTTCCCCATTGAATGGATCAAACCAGCCAACAATCTCCCCGAGCACATCTCCGAGCAGTTCCCCATCAGTCAGCAATTTGCCAAGCATTAGCTCTGCTCCATCAACCAGTGCTCAGCCCAGCATTTCCCCGTCAGTCAGCATAATGCCAACTAGTACCTCTGCTCCAACAACCTGTGCTCAGCCCAGCAGCAAGCCTTCCCTCCTTCCTAGCTATGTTCCATCGCTCAGTGTGCAACCCAGCACAACCCCAAGCACTTCCCCCAGCAGTATCCCTTCTGATCTACCAAGCTCATCCCCAAGCAGCATGCCAAGTGCAATGCCATCAGCCCAGCCAAGTGATGGTCCAAGTAGGACACCCAGCAACACACCTTCAGCTGTCCCTTCAGCTATCCCTTCAGCCATCCCTTCAGGCCAGCCAAGCTCGCCCCCAAGCATCAGTGGAAGTGCATTACCATCACTCCAACCCAGTGCTGCTCCTAGCAGGACACCCAGCAGAATCCCTTCTGCTCTACCAAGCTCATCACCAAGCAGCATGCCCAGTGCATTGCCATCACTCATGCCCAGTGCCGATCCTAGTAGCAACCCCAGCAGTGCACCTTCTGCTCTGCCAAGCATATCCTCAAGCAGGATGCCAAGTGCATTGCCATCGCTCATGCCCAGTGCGGGTCCTAGCAGGACACCCAGCAGTGCACCTTCGCTTATGCCCAGTGCGGGTCCTAGCAGGACACCCAGCAGTGCACCTTCTGCTCTACCAAGCTTATCCCCAAGTGCATTGCCATCACTCATGCCCAGTGAGGGTCCTAGCAGGACACCCAGTGGGGAGCCTTCCGCCATTCCAAGCTTAAGCTTGAGCCCCAGCCAGGCTCCTACAAAGCCTTGTTCATCAACTACAACTTCAGATGTGTGCACACTTATACAAGATGGGGTAAGTGAGCTTCATGTGAACACTTGCATTGCTGGTGGCCTATTCCAACACTAACTTTCTCTGTATCCTTGAATAGGGACAATTGGATGTTTGTTTTGATTCTCTGTTGCCTGCCACCAGTGATGTGACTGTTCAAACTTTCACCCGGGGTGATCTGGGTGGTGGGTCAGAGTTCTATGATGTATTTGACCAAAATGGAAACATCTTGGGACAAAACAATGGTTCTGGTGGGAGTGACTGCGATTCAATCTATGGTCAGGCTGATTTTGTTGTGGCACAGGCCACATTCAACTCTTGGGTAGCCGCTGGCTTTGTCAGTTTCATAATGGATGCCTCTACAGACGTGAGTGCCCTACTTTGCGCCATCCAGAATGATGCATACATCAATCTGGTCTATACCGACACAACACCCAGTACCGCACCCAGCTTAAGCTTGGCACCAAGCCTGAGCTCGGTACCAAGCCAAATACCAAGTATGATTCCAAGCTTGCCACCAAGCATAAGCTTGGCTCCAAGTGTGATTCCCAGTCAGGCTCCTACCAAGTCTTGTTCAACAACTACAACTTCAAGTGTGTGCCCAATTACAACAGATGGGGTAAGTGAGCTACATGTGAACACATGCATTGCTGGTGGTCTGATTCCAACATTAACTTTCCTGTATCAATCCTTCCATAGGGACAATTTGTTGGGGATTCGCGATTAGGGATTCAACCTGTACCTCTGTACTAGAATTTGATGTCAGTAGCAAAACTGGTAACCCACCCACTTTTTCAGTAGTATCTCAATAGCAACAGTAACTACTAGAAGAGAGCTTAGAGCAACTAACATACTACTGAAAAAGCGGTCTACTATCGAAGAAGCGAAGAGGAGCCTATCGAGTCAACGGTAGCAGGAAGAAGATCGCGACGCGAAGAGAAGAGGAGCGAGTATCGGCCGAACGCCGATCGCGACGAGTAGAAGACCGTCGAGGACGACGCTACCGTTGCAAGGATCCGAGGACGGATTGCGAAGAGGATCGATAGAGACCAAGACTGTCGAAGCATCGACAGCAACAGCAAGAAGCCTGTCGAACGAATGACAGCAACGAAGGATCCGAGGACGGATCGACCGCGACGACGCAGCGAGTTTCGTCGGCGGCAACACGAGAGGAGACTGCAGCCAACGACGCGAGTATCGGTCGACCGCAGCAGCAAGAGTTTCATCGGCAGAATCCACAAGGATTGCCGAGAGCCGACAGCATCCAGCCGGAACTGTCAGAGCCAACAACAAGCGCGAAAGCCATAGTGCCAGCGCAGGGGCCAAAGGAAAGGCACCCAACAAGGAATCAACAATTACAAAGAAACGGGTTCGGAGTGGAAACGACGCACAGTGTGTGAAGCAATCGTTCCCTCCCTGCAAGATCTTTAGTAAATAGATTTAACACTCCCTAGCCAGGAGTATAATTTGAAGTTTATCGCCCCATACCAAAGACGAATAAGTAGTCGGACGAGAACTTAAATTAAAGAGCTAGTCAATCAAAAAAACAACGAATTGAAATAGCCACCTACCGTAGCATAAGACAATGAGCGGTAGAGGTAAAGGACGAGGTGGCCGAGGAGGCGGCAAAGCACGAGGGCATGGAAGAACCAACCCATCGTCGAACCAGCAGAAGGTTCATGCAAAGCCCTCGACCAACATGTGTTCAACTTTCGGTCAGACCAGATGATACGAAAATGGGAGAAGATCGTCCTCCACGTTGGACAAACGATGGGTGACGAATGAGCAATGAGCTACGCAACCTGAAACAGACAGTGTTTGGTAGCACCGGTGTACTCAAGAGGAACCCGGAACAGGTTGACGCGCAGCGAACACGTGAACAGAACAACCTCGTCTCCTACGCAACCCAAGAAAGCCTACGGCTACTAGAATCAGAGATCACCGCAGTCACCAATGACCCGACTCTCGGTAGCCTACAGCACACTAACGATAGAAAAAGCAAAACTCGTTAATGAAATAGCCGACCTTACGGCAGCCATAGCCGACCCACCGGAAGAGGAACTCCGGGGACTCGAGAAAGCAGAGTATGGAGGGCTCAATGAAGACCCACCTTACAGGTTGCAAAACTACAAGAAAAAAAGGCAAAGCATTCAACTTGATCACTGGGCAGTGCACCCGACTATTAAAGGACAAGATGAAGCAGAACACGAACTATCGATGACGTCCTGTTAAGATGCGACCCACTGGAGCTAAAAAAATGATCCACAAGACGACATGGCCCAGACCGATGATAATTTTGTGTACACCCACATTATTCCAACTGGAAAAACAACTGTTGAATTTCCACCAAGGGAGCTTTACCGCTTCCGAATACCACGAGCAAATTTACACGAAACGGGACATTGCACAATCCGTGGTATTTCCAAGCTACACGACGAGCACTTGCTGCATACGGCAAACCTACTCCACCAGACACAGAATACGCTGACCTGGGAGTCGAAGACCAGAGACAGTCTCGGCAACGCAGAGGAAGGTACTATAGTTAATCTTCTTAACAAAAGTTCCGATAAACTTTAGGAGCGAGAGCTTTGGATCCCGTCAGAGATAGCTCCAACAGCTATGCTGGCCTAAGCTCCAGCACCCGCAGCTGGCTATCTCCAGCCAAAGCAGCAAGAAAGGATCGTCCTTTCCACAATAGTTAAGAAAATAGTACGAAAGATTGAGACCGATCCTGTATTAGCTTGTAGCCCCTTTTGATACCGCAGCAGTTGATACTATCCTGTTTGAGCCGGGCAGAAGCAGTAGGAGTGTAGCAGTAAGTACTGTTCCAGACTGCCACTGCACGATTGAATAACGAAGGCCCCCAGCTCCTGAGGAGAGTGGCCCAAAGGTCCAGCAGAGAGCTCTGCTGGCCCTCCTGTCTGACTGAAGGACCAAGTCCTGGTTTGGTGCCTAACTGGAGGTGTTGGAATACTCCTGAGGCACGACAAGGCTCCCTGAACTGCCTGACTACCGCTGTCCTGAGGAAGGGTTTCAGCGAGTCCAGTCCACTACTTGGGTATTGAACTGATCCTTCTAGAAACATTATTGGATTAACAGTCGCATATAATTTGCAGGCAGTTTTAAGGGAAGGAGAGTCTCCAGGCTGACAAGGAGCCCTCCGCATTACAACAATCAGTGCTACACTACAGTTACAGTTGGATTCATTGATTTCATTGGATTTTGAGGTGATTTCAAGGCCCATCTTGAAGTCCTAAGTCAACAATCTTCTGGTCAATTCTGACAGCTCTAGTCTTCACCACAGTGACAACCACCTTTGCATTGGCCCTCTACCATCTACAAGACCAACACAAAGCCCATTGCCATTGCCTCGAGGACCTCATTCCCAACCTCATTGACAACGGCAGCTACTACTGTACTCGAAGCAACGACACGTCGATAGCGAGCTAGCACGAGAAGCAGTCAATTCACTCGAAAGAAGAAGCAGTTCTTTACTGGTCCCGTGACTGAGTCTCGAGGAACGAGACTTATTGCTTTCGCACCTATCTTGGCAATCGTGCAAGCTTTTACGTCCCGAGGAATTTGGCTACTTATCAAGAGCAACAGCACTTATCTCCTTTCAGCACGGGCTTATCGCTTTGCAATCCTTTGAGCCGATTTTACGTGGAACGTTTGGATTTATTGTTGATCCGAGGCTTATCTCTTGAGGGATCCACGGAACTTTCACTCGTCCGTGCAGTTTCAGTGTCACGAGTTTCCGTCCTAAACTGTTCACGATTTCACGGAACGCTGAAGAACAAGCTCAATCAGCCAATCAAAACGTCCTGCAGTTTCGGTACTTATTACGATGCCCTGAGTCAGTACGTTGCAGTCACACAGAACAATATCGAGTTCTTCTGCGATCCTGGATCTCCGAAGACTTATACGACAACAGTTCCCCGTTCTGAAAGCAGGCTCCCCTCGGTAACCTGTTTGCGCTCACATTTTCAAGGTGTTTACGTGGTCGAGTCATTGAAATCGTGAAATTCGCATCTCCGTACGGAGCCAACCCACGAAGAGAGCTCGGAGGAGCCGAGACCAAGAGGTCAATTCCTTGGCTGAAACTGGTACAGTGGATCCGCCACCCCTTGTTTAGTCAGTGGGTAACTCACCTTGGATTCTGAAAGCTTTTGTGGGGAGATTCATTGACCCAAGTTGACTGGCTCCACGTGGCAAAATCCACCAAAACCAAGGCAATTCCCAGCACCAAGGCACACAGGAATCAGGTCCCAGCCCTTGTACCTGGTCCACCTTATTCAAAGACACCCAAATTGAATTTCCTAGGCCCCTAGCAAGGTCCCAGGAAGTCCCCTTTGTGCTTCCCAGCTACAGTTGAGTCAGCCTTATTTCTGCTACAAGGCTGAAAACCAGTGCTTCCCCGGTACAGCAGGTACACCTCTTCTTTGTCCAGTAACAAGAGGCACCATGTCTTTCTACGGTTCTACACGATGTGAGGACCCTTATGCCCCTGGCACTCCGACGTTGGCTGGCACAGCGTTACTCTGGTCCCCAACAAGTCCATGGTAGCTAACTTGTGCTCCGCCCCACCACACCAGTGGAGCTGGCAAAGCAAACCTGCCTACCGCGCACGCATCGGACACACAGCGACCACCAGATTGACTACAAATCCGTCTTTGACATTCTTGAGAGGAGGCCGGCACCAATGGCCTATGGTAGGACCAATCACCAGCTGGGTGATGGGAAGAATTTCAGAGCTGTCCTCGACAGCTTCAGTTGTCACCCAGATCTCATTTATGACGCCAGCCATGGAAGACGTGCTGTCCGCTTTCAAAGGCAACAGGTCACCGTTGCCCGGCAACTCGACCATCATGAGAGCTTGACCACGAGTCCCTTCAGACGAAACCTGAGAGCTGTGATCATGAATCATTCTAGCAAGACATGAGAACTGACCACGAACCTTCAAACGAAAGATGGAAGCTCAGTTCATCGACCTTGAAGGACCAACTGACAACTCAACTTGAAGCCTTGGTCAGTGGTAGTGCTAGGCCACCTGTCACAGCACCTACACCTGCTTTGACACCATCAGTTCATGGGGAGACCAATGCCACTCCACTGTCAGCCATGGGCAGAGTGCTGATGGCGTCCACAAGCCGACTGGTGACAGCGCTATTGGTCCCCAACAGCTCCACAGCCCAAAGAAGACAGCCAGCGCCACAGGGTACTCGGCATGCCCTGCCATACAGCAAGGATGCCATTGCCCATCCAGACGTTGACCATTCGCCTCTTGTACCAACAACAGCTGCCCCACCAATGTAGCCACGTGCTCCATCCCTCCCAAGCTAGCTTGTGGAGAGTTGCCTGTCCAGACCCATGCGTGTCCCAGTAGCGAGCCACCAGCCAACTTTGCCCCGTGCCACACCCTTCATGCCCTCGCTGGTGCCCATCCATCGTTGGATGATGGGGAGATTATCGAGCTTCCAGCCCTAGTAGTCATCCAACCTCTGGGAGATCATGATGGCAAAAACTCCAGCCAGAAGCAACCAGCTTCCAGAGCTGGTGCCAAAAACATTCCAGTTGCACAACCAAATAGACCAAGTGTGACTCCCACTCAGTCACTCTACAACCAA